TCGTGCAAAATAGTAGTAGTAGTACAAAAATAGAGGAAGGTTTTAAGATCACAAAATTTTATTAAACAGGTGCCTAATATAAATATAACCTCAACATCGCCTAATATATCCTAATATCGATAAAATGTATTGAGATCGAAAACCATGTTTGTCTCAAAATAGCTGAGTAGATATTTGAATCCAGACATCAGTTTAATGTTCTGCGTACGATATTTGTAGATGTACCCTGAAACTTACTGAAACTCGAGTTTTCAGAACATGTTGTACACCTACGCAATAATTTATCAAAGTACTTAATATGACTACGATAATAATTATATATGTCAATAACCGAATATACAATACGTTGAATAACTTTTTTATACCAAAAATGAGGTAATTCGATTATTCTTCAATACACAAACTCGTCAAATTACGTACCCATCTACTCAAGTATAATTTTGTTTATTTCTAGAAAAAAACACGATCCTAATTTACGACTAATGATTTCTGGATCAGCGGTCGTTGACCAACCATATTTTGTAATAAATAGGCAGAGATTATATTTTTCTTTTTTTTATGTCACGGATACAGGACTTTTAAGCCACGTTTTTATTTTTGGTTTTTGAACTAAATCATTTTATTATTGAATCAAAAGTTTTGTATCTTGAGGGAAGAGATAACCAAATAATTCTATACCTACAGTATTTATAATTTGAAGTTCTTATCCATCATCAGGTTAGGGTTTTGAAATAATTCCTACAAACCGTAACTTCTTACTAAGGGTTTTATTATAAGAGACAGGTGGTTATGGGTTTGTAGGCAATTTTGTTTACATAACCTTTATTAACAAATAATCGCGGGTTCCTCACGTGAATATACTGATAAAAGCTCTACTAGTTTCGAACCCACAGAGGGGGTTTGTAGGCTATTTTGTTTACTTACCTTGCCTTTATATAAATGCCCTTTGGTGGTCTGGTCACATTATTCATTGTGTTTTATCTACCAAAACTGTATTAAATAATGTTCGTTCTAAATCCTACAAGACTTTACCTACATGATTAAACTTTACATAATTATATTATCAAAATTGGTACAGTAATTTGAGCGTAAAACAAGAATGAATATACTTTATCTTATTTAATATTCGGATTATGTATGTGTCAGTAGCTATGATTTATGATATTACATTTGAAAATAACATTTTAGATTTTACCTCTGTTTTTCGTGAACTTTGACACTAAATGACATTCGCGTATTTACTCACTCGGCAGAAATAGAATCATTTAGTTTTCTCGAATCTTTTTGTGCTTTTTCTCACCTGTCTATATAAATTCACGACCAAATACAGAGTTGCAATCATGCCTAAGGTAGCTATACTTTACCTGTCACTCAAATCGGTCAGCCCCGACAGAACTTATTATACAAAGATTACATTTTCTTCTAGAATTTCAAAAATAATTTTAAACGTTGAAAAATATTCTTTAGGGACCTAGCTAGTCTTTCAAATACAATATAATGTCTGTCTATCTGTCATAATCCTTTACGTGGGTATATATTTTGAGTTAAATGGCAAGAATGAGAGATTGTACCAGACGTAACACTTCGACATTTTGATTTAATTTATTTTTGAAGAAATAGTCTTTGTTTTATTGTGTGTGCGTAAGTATACTATAAGAAATCACACATAGCAACACAAGTAGACTCGAAACTGTCTTAATCCATCATCCAACTTTATTCCAATAAGAACTGGACTTTATAGAACATCTATTACAGTTTTATTTATGTCATTTACATACATTTCTAGAACTACTTCCTATTATTATCATAGAAATACACTCAGGTTTCTTATAACTTGTAATCAAACACGACACAATCTATTATATGGACACAGGTCATCAATTACACGGGTACACAACACACCCACTGTATTAAAACAATCATTTTCTAAGACATTATAAGTAAGTAGTTTCTACACACACTAATGAACTAATGAACTACAAAGGCACAGATTATCAAGAAATAATAAGTCATTATATTTATGTCTATGGAAAATTTGACGTCTATATAATATTGTATCTGTGTACTCTGACGTCATATAAAGGTCATCGTCGGTTGAGAAAGGATTCCATTATCCATAAGTTTACTCAGGGCACTTATTTTTTTTGTTTATTTGCAAAGAACATACAACGTTTTCTGCTTGTTTGTACCTAAAGCATTTCTAAAATAAGAGACATAAATATTTGACAAAACCTATATATAGATTAGAATCGAAAAAAATATGTAGCTAATAATTAATACAATAGTACCTAACAATTGTTTACAAAATAACATTATTCTAGATTAAATCCGAGCCAAGTAATTTATTATCACTGCAAGACTAATATAGTGTGATGTTCGGAAAATTGTTCCCGGGAGGTGAGAGACGTAATTAACCCTCACTACCACAATAACTCTTGTTCTGATAAAGATAATGTTTGTTGAAATAATTTGAAACCTACTTTGAAATTTAATGACCCTGAACTGCTCATTCATCACATCGCATATCTTATTATACATTATATACATATATATATTATTCTTTTTCCCTTTTTCCCTTGGTCATCGAGCGTGAGTGACTGGACCGATTTCACTAATTCTTTTTGTTGTATTTGTTATTATTAGGAAAAGGTTCTTAAGACGGAAAAAAACCTGAAAATCCTACGGGAACGAAAGAAAACGTAATATCACGGACGAAATCACGGGCAGAACCTAGTGTTAGATAAAATGTAGATAGTAAAGTTAAAAATTGATTTTTCAGCAATGTTATTGTTGACCACAAATTCACAATAGAAACTTCGGTTTCATTTTATTTGCTGTCCGATACACTAAACACAAAACTAATCCAATCTAAAACAAATGTTTTAAAAAATAACTTATCAGTAAACGACCGCTAAAATACAATTCAGCAATTTGTTAAACACAAGTAAATAAATAAAAATAAAAAGCCTTTTGATACATAACTTGACTGTTTTTATAATAACTATCGTGAAACATACTAAATTAACTAAAAGTCGCGGGTTAGGTACTCACGTGAATATACTGTGGTTCGAAACTAGTAGAGCTTTTCTCAGTATACTCACGTGAGTAACCCGCGATTTTTAGTTAATAACTTGACTCGTTCAGAATTCACCATACATTAGAATAGTGTGTCTAAAATTCCTTGAGTTCATTCCTTAGAGTCTATAGAACTAATTACATAACAAAACATAACCTCACGCCTTTTATCTCCTATGGAGCAGGTAAACGTGCACCTTTCGGAGCATAATGCCACAATGTAACACACACTTTTCACTATTTATGTTATGGGTACCATGTAATAGGGGGTGAGCCTATTGCCATATACCGGGCACAATTCCAGACTCCGTGCTACTACTGATAAATTTTGAAAACCCAGTAATACTTAATCCAACCCGGCAATGGATCCCGAGACCCCTTGCCTAGCTGTCGTACTTGTGAGCTTGGCCAGCGAAGCAGTCATACATACAAATTATAGATAAGTATTATAAGCAATGTCCTTCCTACTTTTCATCAATGAAAAAAATACATATTTACGAGTAATATACTACTAGTAATATAATCTACGTCGATACCTGCAATATGATCATCAAATTGACATTTCGGAACGCTATCAAATCATTTCCAATATCGCCCGAGGTGCCAGAGGCCTGACAAATCGTAAAAAACGATTTTTTACGTAAGTACCTATCTCAACTTCGAATGTAAAAAAGTAGGTACCTTTTTTAATAAAATATTTTTACATTCATGTCATGTAATTCCAATTACAATTTACTTTCTCAAGTTTTCAACGTTAAATAGACATTTTGTTATTTTTATTAGATTTTCCCTAATAGACATTAGGTACGTGTTTAACAAGTTTAAATGAGATTCGCACATCGTATTCGCAAGTCGCGAATAACTCTAAATTAGTCTTACATCTAATTTTTTTTTTTTTTTTTTTTTTTTTTTTTTTTTTTTTTTTTTTTTTTTAAAAACGTTGCCCCACACTAGGATTTTCTCCTGTGTCGTGGGTGCGTTTACAAACAATACAAGTTCACATACACAATGACACCCAGACCCGAAACAACAATTTGTGGATCACACAAAGTGTTGTCCCGTGCGGGAATCGAACCCGCGACACGTTGCACGGCAGCCGGTTGCCCAGCCACCGCACCAACCGTGCAGTCATTTACAATTAAGTACCCATTATCATAGGAATCGTATGCAGAGCAATAAGATCACTGCGCATTACATAAGAAAGAATTGTATCATAACCGTCTGAAATGAGGATAGAGTTTTTAACAATAACCTAATTATAAAATGATAGTTGATTATACCTACTTTTATGAAATGGAATAAGCCGGTAAACGAGCAAACGGATCACCTGATGGTAAACAATCGGTGCCGCCCATGGACACCCGAAACACCAGAGTTGTTACAAGTGCGTTACTGGCCTTTTAGGGATTAGGAATTCGAGGATTACGTATTGGGGAGGAGGGGTAGGACGTGGGCCTCCGGTAACCTCACTCACACGACGAAACACAACGCAAGTGGTATTCCACGTCGGTTTTCTGTGAGACCGTGGTATCACTCCGGTCGAGACGGCACATTCGTGCTGAAGCATGTCTCTTCCACACTTATGCTAGATTTTAAAGTTTTCCTTCTATCTTTCTTGAATGTCAACCGAGTCTAGAATGGGGTGTTGTCTCCTAACTATCAGGATTGCGAAGTTGCCGTCCTCTTTTAAGAAAAAGTAAATATTTCACTATGATCTTTGCACTTTAACCACGGTGGCCATCATTGGTAAGGGCGCTAAATCAAATGATTCATTAAAAATATATTATATTCTCATTATTTATTAATCATCATTAATATATATTTCGTCTGCAATAGAAAACTATATCAGTTCATTGGTGACAGTGTAGAAAAAAAAACTTGATTTTGGTGCATCAATAATAGGTACCTATTAATTAATTTTAAAAAATGGATATCTACGAAGACATAAATGAAAAATATTATCGACAGCGACGTAGATATTCCTACCACGATGAACGTGAAGAATCAAGTGATAGTGATATAGAACTGCGGCTCATTCGAGAATTTAGAGAGAAAAGAAAGGTATTTATATAACCACACTAGCTACTGCCTCGCGGTGTCACCCTATTGCTAGTTGCGTGATTTTGTATAGACTATAATAGCCTTCTTCGATAAATGAACTATCAAACACAATAAAAATTACGTGTTTCGAACTAGTAGTTCCGGAGATTAGTGTGTTAAAATAAACAAATAAACTTTACTTGGTTTGGACCTTTAATGCATTTGTGATCGTTACCAATTTCCATTACTTTAGTAATATTTCAAAGTATCAGGAATTATGTTAAAAACTATCTAATAACTAAAAAGTGACAATCTTGTCTGATCTCTCAATCTAAACAGTTTCCAGATTTCTTAACTAAGTATTGGTCGAAAATAATTTACTAGTATTACCGATTTTTTTTACTATTCCCAACCCAAAGAATTAAAAACAATTGTTAAAAAAAAATTAAAAAATTCCTAATGTTTCGTTGTTGTTTGTAAGTAATTTATTCGTCTTGTCATAAAGAGCAATTTCCTAGTGAGTTGCCTATGAAAAATGTAGACGTCCAGAAAAGTAATATTTTCCATCAAATTTCCGAGGAAAAAGCAGAAGTTAATCAAATTATATCCACTAATTAAACGCAATTCGACGTTTGATCATTATAAACAGCCGATTTCATTTCTTGGAAAAAACCTCGATTAATATTGTATTAGGTACATTTTTAATTCCATATTATGTTAGTGACTTTAAAGGCTATTTTATAATAACTTTTATACAGAAGGACATTTAAACTGTCAAACACCAAGCGGTCACCGGTGACCGCAACCTATTGTTCTATAATTGTGTCTGCAAAACCGGTACTCGACGAGTTAAACCACCAAATATTCAATTACTCATCACTGATTGACTTCATCATTACAGTCCTGTCGACAAAATTAATGTCATTTTCTAGTTAACCAGTATTAAGTATATCAAATAACTATAGCTAGTACCTACCTTTATTGCAACTACTGTGTATATCTTCTATCTTGTATCTCTATGTTAATAATTTCGTCAAGGGGTAGGGGTAGACTCGATCGAAACATTACCTGAATAACAAAACATAAAAGATATCGATTTCGAAACAACAACATATATCCGCACAATTCGTATTACGGAGATTATTTAGTTTAAATAATTCATTTTAATGACACTGACAGAAAAACCGCTGTCACCATCTTGAGTAGACAACGTTCCGTTTCATACTAGCTCTCAAATACGCCTCGCCAATCAACACGTGGTCGCGTCAAAAAACTATAGATTAACAAGAAATATGAATAATTTCACGCGATCGAAGTCGCGGGTAAAGCTAGTTTTATAATAATTTTGCGGCATTGATCAGATAATTTACGGAAACATGAGAAATAATAAACGAAAAAACTAAATTACTTTTTAAACAACACATTACATCACTTTGTTTCTTCAGAAAAAAAAGTAATCATCAATGATTTATGGTTTGCACCAGCCAGTACTGATCGTAAATTCGAAAAGAAGTTTGGAATTGGAAAAATAAGTAGAAGGCTTAACTTTTCGCTCGGGAAGCGACAAAAGCCGAACTCTTTTCTTGCAAAACTTTTATTTTATTTTTACAAAAATAAAAAATGCGACCGGGAATTAATTTATAAGAGATCTTTCCTGAATTTTTAACGTTAACCGTTGTGTTTAAGACATTGAAAAAAAGTCAAGTAGTTTTTTCCTTACGTGACAGAAATACTTAACATAATAAATATTCTAATGAATGAATGAATATTATTATAATAGGCCAAGGCGGGTACAAGAAGCCAGACTAGGCACTGAGTTTCGTATAACAAAAGACTTTTTAGGCATCATCTAATTCCATAGAATTATTTTTTAAGGTTCCGTGGAGCGTATTTATCACGCGCTAATATTATTAAGATTCCGAATTGCTGAAATATGAAGTCATTTCTTCTTTAAATAAATGATAATTAAGTAAAAGCAGGACACCTTCATAAATCTTTTAAATGGCTACTCCTACTCGGAAGGAATATCTAAATTTAAGTTTTCTTTAGGTGTCTGTTGTCCTAACGATGTCTGGAAATGGCTCATTTTTGACAACAGTCTCATACCTCTATCTACCTGCCTTTTAAAAGAATCGCTGGTTACACATTGTTAATTTCCATAAAGCTCACTTCACCCCTTACTTAGACTGTTCAATCATAACGTAAACACATATGTGACAACATCACTCAGGAAAAGCAATGTGACCCTTACAATACCCACATGATTTGTGACTAACGTGATGTGACTTCGAATCCGTAGGTAAGGTGAAAATATAGCCACAAAAAATAAGGCCACGAAGACGACAATAATCATGACTTTGACTGCCAGGTGCCCATCATATCTTATACTATTCACGCTATTCATCACGCTACAACCAATAGGAGCTGAGCAGAGCGTGTAAAACCGCGCGCAAGTAGCTAGTGTTTAAGATGTAGAAGCTTACATAATAATATGTATAATAAATGCGAATGTTTGTGTGTTCGTTTGTCTGTATGCTTGTTACGCAATAACTTCAAAACGGCTGAAAGCATCAGTTTCAAATTTGGAACGGGGATAGGTTATGGTCTGGAATAAAACATAGGGTACCTTTTTTTATTAACGTTTATACCACGGTAATGCGAGCGAAGTTGCTAGCAGAAGCAAGTATAATAATAAAACTAAGTGACATTAACATCAAGTCAACCACAAGAAACACTCTGCTGAACGTAGGGCTTTCCCTAATGACTTCCAGATGAGCCGGCGGGAAGCTACCTGCATCCAGCGGCACCCTGCGACTTTCATTGGAACATAAAATATGTCCACCTTTAGACTGGACATACTTAAACGAATATTATTTTGTTAAAGTTTAAAAAAGATGTTATATTTGCAAGTCGGTTCGCTTACCTTAGGATTAAAGTTTTACCTGTCTAGACAATTTTAGGAGTCCTATTACTATCGGTTCAGTAGCTCAAAGTTCAAGCGATACTCAACATCAAATATATTTATACTTAGTTATATTATATAGTTATATTATACTTAGTTCCAATATACAGTCAGTAAGTATATTTTTTTAGTACTTAGGTAACAACACTCCCTCCGAAAATTAATAATTTATAGTTAATTAAGCGAGACGATGGGACGGACACTGACACTGACATAAGGAAGAACTTTAAATTTTTTTTGCACTTTGATAAATGTTCGTTTGAAATATTTTTGAGAAAGAAGTACTTATTTTTTAATCAAATAACAAAAACTTGAAAAGATATCTTCTTACGCAATTTAATATGGAAATGTAAAACACTCTTGTTGTTGTCAAGTTGTTATCAAATTTTTATTACAATTGACATGAAACTGAAAATGGAAACTGGACTTAGGTTAGTTACCGAAAAACAAACTTAATTCTAATTAAAAAATAAAGCATCGACTGAGTTTCGTTACGCGTCTATGTAGATTGGTAGGCAGTAGGTACTAATTGTCTTTTTACTATTTCGACAATAACTAGATTAATCCATGACGACAGCTTCATTATACATTGATAGTATTGTACCTTAAACCCATTGCACACTCACTCATGACTTTAATTCTGAAGTTAGGCAAAATATGATTTATTTTCGGTTCCGAAATTCTTAATGGCAGCCCAGAGTTGCGTCAAGAGAATGGCTCCTTATTATGAGACAATTGCTATGACAAGGGACTAATAACCAAGTCGGAGAAAAGTTTTCTTAGCGTGACGTGTATAGCAACAGTACATATTTGCCTTATTTCCTTCTTGAGTCATACATTCGCGAATGTGGCTACAGGATTAAACTTCCTACTCTACGTATATTATGCTACGCCTGACTTTAATTCAAACTTTTCCTTTAGTATAATTTTCAAACATAATAAGCGAATTGCATATAAAGTAGGTTTAAGAGCTATTGTTGTGAAAACATGTGTGTTTAGTTGAGATGTATATGATACACAAAGATGGGCATGCGCTCGCAACATTTCCATTTGTGTGACATAGTTTACAACCCCTGTTTTGTCATGTAGATGGTGACATTATTGACGCTCATTGTCCCGCACTAAGCAAATGATTTATGCAAGAACTACAAAGAATACGTGACTGCTCTATTATATGTATATGTGTATGTTTATGCGTACTCCTATTCCTATTGACAATGGCCTGCTATAGTCTTTTCTTTTACCTATTCTTTTTGTATAACTTCTCGAGTACAGGAAACGAATTAATGACGCTTTTAAAAAAAGCAAATCGTCATGCGAAAGACTAGATAAATACGTTTTTGTTATTCATTCTTTTTGTGGCGAATCAATAAGAAACTTATTTGTATTTGAACTTTGAACGGTAACAGGTAGCGATAATTTGAACAGGTATTAAAGTTTTCGGATAGTGCTGGCTAGGGAGTAACAAATTGGGTCGGCAAACAATGAAAATATGCAGATTTAGCTTCAAGTTTACAACAGCTGGTCGGTACCGCAGTGCAGCATTCTCGGTCAGTCAAAACCCACAAGTTTGTAAGTAGGTAGTTTACACTGTACATGTATCATCAATACACTACATCGTTCAATGTCACACTTCAATAGACCAAACCATATAACAAATGTAGTGAATGCGTCACAATACATGTCACCTCATTCGACCGTACTATTTTCCTGATAGAAGTAACTCATAAACAGATAAAACGCATGTCTCCTTCATTAGTTAGTCGAGTGGTTCTGTTATCAGAAACGCATAAATACCTGACTGGCATTATAACGGAGCGAAGCCCTTGGCCCATTAACTGTTCTTTACCGCCGCATTCCAAATCTAACATGTTACAATATCCATAAATAACGAAATACATCGCCTATATTTTAATGACATTGAGGAAATTCAATTCGTGTGGTATTTAATGAATGTAATATCTAAACTAGAAGTCTGGATGATATTCCTGGGTCGGGACTTAAGACCCCTTATTACATAGATCTCTAATGGAAAATACGTATTACATGTAACATATTC